ATTTCATCATTTCTGGGCCGTCAGTACAGTTTTGGTAGAATTCGGCAATAATATTCCTGTCATCTTCAAACAACTCTGATATATACAACTGCCATTCTTTTATTATTTCTTGCTCATTTACAATAGTTTTATTATTAGTATCAACAAGTACAGAGGGAACTCGTTTTGTAAATATATTACTTATTTCTTTCAGTTTTTTGTACACATTAAATAAGTCGTGTTTAGATATTACATCCTTCATTTCGTCGCACCATTCATTCATTACGTCGCAATCATTCTGGCAATTATAATTTTATTGGTTACTCGCCTGAATGGTTCAATTGAACTGCATCCAAACCACTCACGGAGATTGCGTAGCCACGAGATTTTACGTCTGCCTACGCTTCTTCTACCTTTGATTTTACCCTTTTTTTTTTTTTTTTTTTTTTTTTTTTGGGAGGTGAGAATCTTCAAAAGACCGTCAGAGAAGGTGTCCCTGGTGTGTCGGATTCAGTCCGTCTCGCTGTACCGCGTGTCGAGACCGCCTACCGACTAAACTCACCTCCTCTTCCTCCAGCCGGCGGGTCTGGAACCGCTCTTAGCGAGCATGTCTGACCCGTCGACCTTACTCATAGCTCCCCCTAACACCCCCGGCGTGAATTCCATGGATTGGTCAGCTTCACGGACGCCTCCCCCGCACAGCGAAGTGACCGAAGACGGGAAAGAGGGCGGTCGGGACGCTTCCCAACCCATGATGGAACCAACCCTAAGATGTCAGTCGGCAGTTACGAATAACTCCAGTCGTTCATACCTTCATCTATTCACTCTTTCTCATCCACCCCTTATTCTATACTTAGTCTCATTCAACTCCAGTCATTCCTTACTTTCATCTAGACACACCTACTCATCCATCTATTCATTCTAACATTTAGATGGGGCAGTCTGTGTAGGTCGGATGTAAAAGGTCCTTCCCTGCTGACTGTCTCCAGACGAAACACGACATAGTTATAGTAATAGTAATAAAAGTAATAAAGAAAGAAATTAAAAAAGAAATAGAAAGAGAGAAAAAGGAGGAAGGATGAAATGAAAGATAGAAAAGAAGCCAAAGAAAGAAGAAGGAAAAGATAGATAACATTAACAGGAAAAGGAAATTGAAAGTGAAATTGTTTAGCAAACAATAACGTATAAATAAAATCAGATCAAGAATAAAACAACGATAAAGTAAATAAATATATAAAACTATGATAAAATAAATAAATAAGTAAAACCGTGTAAAAACAAAATAGGATAAGTTAAAATTAGACAGTCAGTGTGGTTTGGGTGTATATGGTCCTCCCCCCACTGACTGCCTTTTACGACACAAGACACGTTAAAAGATAAATATACGGTTATCCTGTCTGCAGTCGCCTCTCTTTTTCTTCTTTATGCTTTATTGTCTGTGTGACAAAAGCAATGATCAGGTCGAAGTCATGCTTGCTGTCGATAGCTTTATCAATTAGCTCGCGAGGCTCGCCTAGGGGGGATCCCAGGCCCAGCTGCAGTTCGGTGCGTCCAACGTGATATGCGGGACATACGAACACGACATGCTGCGCGTCATCCACCACTCCGCACTCAGGACATAGATCGTTCTCGGTTTTTCCTATACGATGGGTGTATTTCCTGAACGATCCATGCCCTGTCAAAAACTGTGTGAAGTAATAGTTGACGCGCCGATGTCGACACCCGTACCACCTCACTGCGTCCGGGATCAGGGATCTCGTCCAGTCAGCCTTCCCAACTTCGGCTGCCCATTCCCTTTGCCACGTCTCTAGACTTGTAGCTCTTTCCTGTGGCCCTGAACCTATCGCTCCGTTGCCCCTTTGGTACATTCTGGCTCTCTCCCTGGCCGAGATATGCACCGGTACAGAACCGGCCACCACCTGTAAAGCAATGGTTGATACAGTCCTGTACGCACTGCACACCCTGATCAGGGGTTTCCTCTGAGCCCTAATAAGCATGTCTTTGTACTTTTTCATCCGAAGGACCTCGTGCCACACTGGAGCCCCGTATAGTAATATTGACAGTATTGATTGAAGCAATACTATCCTCTTTTGGGATCCGGGTCCCCCGATGTTGGGCATTAACTTGTTAAGTGTTGAGGTCCTTTCTTCCGCCTTCCGACATGCTTCTTGTACATGCTGTCCGAAAGAGAGTCTGTCATCGAAGGTTATACCTAAGTACCTGACTGTCCTTTGGGGTCTTATTTCGGAGTCTTGGTATGCGAAGATTATATCGTTTCTTTTTCGTGGTCCCCTCAAGATTATTGCTTCTGACTTTTCTACTGCTAGTTTTAGGTCGTTCTTCTCTATCCACGCCGCGGTCGTTCTTATCGCATTATTTACCTTATCTTTTATTCCCCAATTCGTATCGTCTTCGACCAGTAAAGCTAGATCGTCCGCGTATGCTATCGCTCTCACTCCTCTCTTTTTGTGTATTTCTAGTACCCCGTTGTATAGTATGTTCCAAAGTAAGGGTCCCAGGACTGACCCCTGGGGTACTCCCGCGGTCATTTCTTTCTTTTTCTTCTTGGATATACATACGGATCTTTCCGATAAGTAGTCCTTTATTATGTTGGACATATACTCTGGGGCCCCAGATTCGACGATTCGGTCTACTATGAGGCCCCAGTTTGCTGAATTAAAAGCATTTCTTATGTCCAGCAGAACAAGGACCACCCATCTTTTCTTGCTTGTCTTGGCCGCGTCCCTTATCCAGTTTGCGGCATCGACTGTCGATCTGCCTTTTCGGAATCCGTATTGTTGGTTTGATAGCATTCTCTCATCTTCCAACACGCGCTCCAGCCGCCTCTTGATAAGTCTTTCATAGAACTTACCAAGGCAGTCCAGAAGGCATATTGGCCGATAAGAGGCCGCTGAATCGGGGGGTTTCCCAGGCTTTAGCAGTAGGACCAAGTTCGCTTCCTTTAAGTCTCTGGGAAACTCTTGCTTCTGCAGTAGGTCGTTGTATATTTTTCTGATCAAGCCTGGTTTCTCCGTTGCTAGTACTTTTATTGCCTCTGGTTGCAGCCCGTCAGGGCCGGGAGCTTTCCCTGTCTTTATCTCTTGACCAGCGGTTTTTATTTCCTCTTCCGTGAACTCCTCTACCATTGTTGGAAATATTTTTATAAAATTTTGGGGATCCTTGGTAGGGAAGAGGAGTTCTGCTGATTCCATCCGCTGGTCTACGTCAAGTCTATATGGGGCGATTATCTTAAGCGTCTTCATGGTTATCTTGTACGCATCGCCCCATATATCTTCGTCCAAAGCTTTTATCAGGGTCTGCCACTTTTCTTTTTTCTCTTGTTTTATTTTTTTGTTTAACGTTTTCTTTAGATCTTTATAAATTTCTTTGAGCTCGAGGCTGCCCTGGCTTCTCGTATAATTCCTTCGAGCTCTGAGGCATCTCTCACGTAGACCTTCTATCTCATCCGTCCACCAATAGGGGGCTTTTTTATTATTCTTTTTCTTCACGGTGGCCAACTTTACTGCGCTTTCTAGTGCTCTTCTCAGTTGGCCAAGGTCAGAAATCTCCTTTTCATTGATCTTTCTGACCTCCGACAGGTACGTGCTTTTGTTGAAATAAATTTCCGTGTGTTCTATCGGCCGCCTTATTCCCCCTTTCATCTTTATTTCACATTTTATATACCGGTGGTAGGTGAATAACTGATCGTCAAGGACATCCCATTCGTGCACTCTCCTGGATAGCCCTTCACTCGCGAATGTAATATCGATGTGTGTTTGGCTGGCCCCTCTTACGAAAGTTGGTTTGTTATTGTTTAATACTTGGAGGACAGCCTGGGCTATCCATTCGTTCCATAATTCCCCCTTTGCGTCGTTTATGGGGGAACCCCACAACCTTGATTTCGCGTTGATGTCTCCGGCGATCAGCACTTCTTTTTCATTCGTGGCGGCGCTCATTATTTCGTCTACAATTTCTTTGTATCTTATCATAGGGATATTTGGGGACACGTAGCATACCAGGAGGCTGAAATCCCTCAATTTGATGAGGATATGATTTCCTCCCCTAACAATACTTCGCACCCCCAAACCCCTATTTATAAAGAGCACCGCCACGTTTTTCCCGTTATCCTGAACCCAACCACCGGATGAAGTTATCTTTTTGTTTGGTTCCGGGACGATGAGCAAATCTGTTTCTAGCTTGCAGGCTTTTTCGTGGACAAGATCGTGCGCTCGGCGGGCTCTGCCCACGTTAACCTGCAATATCCGTATACCAGGTTGATCTTTGAGGGCCACTTTGGTTCAGTTCCCAGAGGTCATTTCTGCATCGGATTCACGTATTTTGAGAACGTTAAAAACCATAATAACTAAAATAAATAAATTAATTAATATAAATAAAATAGATAAATACGGTATATGGATAAAATATGTATAAATAAAAACATTCAATAAATAAAAATAGTTTAGTAAAATTGGAATAATAAAAATAAATAAAATAAACTTTATAGATATAAAATAACACCAAGGTGGGCTGTATATGGGCCCACCTTCATTTTCCAAAAAGTCTATTTTATATTTTTTTGGCGTATTTTATGAGTTCCCCTCTCTTTTCCTGCCGTATACAAGGGCTCGGTAGGACGGACAAGCCATCCTGTTCATCCTATGCCCTTCTTCTTTGCACACCGAGCAGTACGGATTGCTGGTGCAGTTTGCGACCGTATGCCCCGTTTTTAAACAATTATAGCAGCACGCCGCCCTGCTCTCTTCTTTACATTCGTATGTATTGTGCCCGAACTTTAGGCACTTATAGCATCTAATTGGGTTGTGTCTCTCCATTATTGGACACCCAACCCATCCTATTTTTATTGTGCTGTACCTCCTCAGCTCTTCTGCTCTGGAGGGGCGTACGGCTATCGTAGCCACCTGTTCCCCATATCTGTTGACTCTTAGGGCCTTAACTTCTATCTCTCCCTCCGCGACGCCTGTATAGCTCTTTATTGCTTTTTTTAAACTTTCTTCACTCACCCCAGGGTCCAAACTCGTAATCGTGAAGAAAGTCTCCTTTCTTCGGATTGCCGTGTCCATCCCGTTCATTTTGCTGTCCAGTTCGGCCCTCAACTTCGCCGCAGCCCCTCTCCCATTTAATTTTACAAGTAGATCTCCCGCATTTGTTCTTTTTAGCTTGTCCACTTGTACCCCGATCTTTCCAATGTCGATTTTCTCTCTCATTTCGCTAAAAACTTCGTTGTATTTCTTTCCTTCCATCTTTATGAGTAGGGCTTCCTCTTGTTCCACTCTCCTCTCTGCACCGAATTCCTTCCCTCTTACTAAAATCTCCCAGGATATACTATCTCTATGCCCTACATATTCGAGAGCTTTCCTTATCGTTTCCTTATTTAGGTCGTTTGCGACTACAACCCGCATGACCTCCGGGATTTCGTTCGTTTCTTTCCTTATGTCCTTTATAGCCTTTTCTGCCATGTCGTATGCATCTTCCCCCCGCTCTTTGTCTAATCTGGCAACGAAAGTATACCATATTGTTTTTTTGTTTGCTTTTCTTCTAGTGTTCTCTAGGTAATTTATTTCTCCCTCTTCTATTTCTTCTAGCATCTCCGCTAGGTCCTCTCCTACATCTTTAATGATGTTTTCCACACCTTTATCTTTCGCTTCCTTTTTTGTAAATATTATACAGTTCTTTTTTTCTACTGTTTCTAGTAGCCCTGCTTGTTCCCACTTTGTCTTTACATATACTTTCTCTTCCCATTTACTGTCGCATATACTCATAAATGTTTTTTTCCCTTTTCCCATGTTTAATACCCTTTTGATTTTTTCTTGTTCTTGTTTCTGTTTCTCCTGCTCCTCTTTTAGTTTACAATGGTCACATTTTAATTCATTTTTGGTTTTTTCGGTTATCCTATTATCATCCCTTTTGTTGTTTGTAGATTTTATAATCCCGATCAATTTTTTTAAATCGGTGTCCACCTCCAGCTTTTTTCTCTGTTCGCTAAATTTGTTAAATATTTCTTCGAGTTTTGTACTTAATTCCTCTAATTTCCTGTTTATTTTTTCTTGTTTTGTTTCATTTGGAAACCTTATGCTCTCCTCCAGCCTTTCCCTCTTGAGGTCATTTATCCTCTCCATGCTTTCGGCTTTTCTTTTCTTTATGTTTATCGTCTCCACCTCCTCTTCTTCGTCTAACAGGATATTAGTCAGCGCACTCCCCTCGATATTCTGCCATATATCTTTAATTTTTTCAATTTTTTCCTGTGGTTGTTCTTCCCCTATCTCTTTCTCATCGTTCTCACTATCTTCTGTAATTTCGTCTTCTACTAATGTCGACTGCTTTGCAACAGTCGACCTATTCAGTTTTTGTTGTTGCTTATGTCTTCTTACCAATTCCCTCTCAAAACTATTCATCATCTCTCCTTCTAATTCTGTTTTCAAGTCGTCATGCGACTGTTCCTCCCTACTCTTTTTTTCAATTTCCTTTGCATTTTCCATATTGTCTTGCCGATGGTCGTCATTCTTCATCCCCGTCTGTTTTAAATTTTTTATTTTACTCATAAATGGTCCCATGAGTCGGGACGTGCTATACGTCTGGCGCGGCAGTGCGCCCTTACCGCGCTAAGGCTTCGATACTTCGAGAGGTCGCCAGGTATCCCGAAGGGATCGTTTTTGATGCTCTAACCCTCGCATCTCTCATATCTTTGGCACGATGCCTTCCACCGTAATAGTGGGGATTTTTTATCGAAGTTTACTCCTCTAGGCTTTTTTTCACGGTTGCCTCCGGACGCAGTGGCAGTCTGTTTGAGCAGTCTGCTTGGAATTTCCACATAACTGCTGCCTCCCCTGTTACGTAGGAATTGGAACGGGACGTGTAATGGAAAGGTGACCGGTGGGGTAAACGTGTCTGCTACTCATATGAAATGTGGTGGGAGAATTTTTTTTTTTTTTTTTTTTTTTTTTGGGATGGACGAGATTCAAAATTGGGATTGAGTAGCCATGGGACAGTTGGTAGGTACTTGTGTTGCTGAAGGCGAAAAAGCGTCGCATCTGCTCGTCTCAGTTGCGACGCTCTTTAGCGTCCAGCGGCGGTGTCCGGCGCTCACCCGGTGCACAGACGCTGGGACTGTGTTTGGTTTCACCGGTCGTGCTCCCCTTACAAATTAAGGGACCAAGACCAATTACTCGGCCCTCTCACCAGCGTCGAGGGGAAAATTACAGTCCCAGAGAGGGTTGATTTTACCCTGCATTATATTCCTTAGTAGTTCGTACTTTTCACCTCTCATGATGTGCCCCAAGTATTCCAATTTCCTGATCTTTATGGAATTTAGAACTTCGCATTGTTTTCCTAGTTGTTCGAGAACTTGTTCGTTTGTTTTGCGATCCATCCATGATATTTTCAAAATGCGTCGGTAACACCACATTTCGAATGCTTCTAGGTTTTTAATGTTGGATTTTTTAAGTGTCCAAGCTTCAACTCCATACAAAAGGGTAGAGAAAATATAACATCGAAGCATTCTTATCTGGAGCGATATATTGATATCGCGATTACAAAAAAGTTTTCTCATTCTATTAAAAGTTGACCGCGCAATTTCAATGCGGCATCTTATTTCTTTTGTCTGATCAGTATCTTCTGTGATCCATGCTCCAAGGTATTTGTACGAAGATATTTGTTCAATTTCTGTATTATCTAGTACTATCTTAACTTTGATGTTTTGTGCTTTTGTAAATACCATGAACTTGGTTTTCTTCAAATTGATTTTTATTCCATAATCGTTGCAATATATATTTAGTTGTTCAGCAAGGTGTTGCAGTTCTTCTAGTGTTCCTGCCCAAAGGACGGTGTCGTCAGCATATCTTATGTTATTAAGTGGCTCACCGTTTATTATAAGGCCCTCACTGATCTCGGCAAGCGCTAATTCTGAGATGGCTTCACTGTATAAATTGAATAACAAGGGTGATAAAATACACCCTTGGCGGACCCCACGGCGAATCTGGATATCCTTGGTCAGTTCGTTTTTAACTTTCACTTTTGCTGTTTGATTCCAATAGAGGTTACAGATGATTCTAATGTCTCTACTGTCTATGTTTTTATTTAATAAAATTTCTTTAAGTCGATTATGCTGCATTCTGTCAAATGCCTTCTCAAAATCAATGAAACAGGCATATACTTCCTGATTAATATCTAAGCATCTCTGCGAAAGAACACTTACTGCAAACAGTGCATCTCGTGTTCCCAGACCTTTCCTAAATCCCATTTGTGTATTACTTATGCCTTCATCTAATTTCTTATATATTCTATTGTGAATTACTTTTAAAAACAATTTCAAGACATGACTCATTAAGGCTATGGTGCGATGTTCATTGCACTCCTTTGCATTGGCTTTTTTGGGAAGCAGTATGAATGTTGATTGGAGCCATTCTTTAGGTATTATACCTGTTCTATATATGGTATTGAATAGATCCAAAAGAAGATCAATAGATTCAGTATTCACAATTTTAAGTAATTCGATAGGAACTTCATCAGACCCGGGAGATTTACCATCTTTAGCTTGTTTCATTGCATATTCAATTTCTTCTCGTATAATGTCAGGCCCAGTATCATCCTTAAATTCTTTTGGTGCTTCTGTTCTTTCTTTGTCTTCAAATAGTTGTGCTATATATTGTGTCCATCTCTGCATTTTTTGGTTTATATCTTTTATAAGTGCACCCCTTTCATCTCTTAGTTGCCTAGTTTGAAGTGTTTTTCTCATTCCTGTTAATTCTCTAATTCTTTTATGCATGTTAAAAAAGTCATATTTTTTCTCAATTTCTTCTAGTTCTTGGCACTGCTCATGTAACATTCTCTCCTTAGCTTCTTTTATTCTCTTTTTTATTAATCGATCAGTTTCATTATATTTAATTGGATTTTTTGTTTTGAATGATTTTCTTTCATTCATTAATAGTAGTATTTCTTCAGTCATCCAATCTTTATGTTTTCTATTGTTTGGTTTTAAGTTTTCATTTGCTGTTTTAATTATTGCTGCTTTTATATTTTCCCATTTCTGATCAATGTTATAGCTACTTTTATTCAGTTCTTGGGCATTACGTATATTTTCAGTAAGAGTTTTTACAGTTTGTTCCTTTGTTTGTGGTTCCCTTAATCTCTTAATATCAATTCTACTTTGTGTGGGTTGTTTAACCAGTTTTAATTTGGTTCGTAATGTGACTACTATGGGGTTATGGTCTGAACCGATGTCTGCTCCGGGGTAAGTTTTGGCAGACAGTATAGAATTACGAAATCTTTGTCTAATAAGGACAAAGTCAATTTGATTTCGGATTATTCTATTCGTTGTATCACCGGGAGATTTCCATGTATACAACCTTCTTTTTGGTAGCTTAAAAAGTGTATTAGCTATTACAAATTCTTCCGTCTGGCAAAATTGTATCAAACGGTCACCACGTTCATTTCTATTTCCTAGACCATATTCCCCCACATATCCATCCACTCTTCCCTGGCCAACTTTGGCATTGAAGTCGCCCATTACTATTGTAGTGTGATGTTTTTTCATTGATTTTAAGACTTGTTCCAAATCATGGTAAAACAGTTCGATATCGTCGTCATCTTTATCTGCCGTAGGAGCATAAACTTGAATAAAATTTACTATACATTTTTTAGACTGTAGTTGTATTGATAAGATCCTATCAGAATAAGGAGTAAAACTTATCACAGAGTAATTGACCTTTTTTGCAACTAAGATAGCAACACCGTAACGATGATTGACCTCGTTGTTACCTGAATAATACATGGTTCCATTATTTGTAATTTGTTTGCCTGAACCTGGCCACTGTACGTCACTTATACCCAAAACATCAATTTGGAGGTTTTCCATTTCAAGCAATACGTTCGCTAGTTTACCACTTGCATATAAACTTCTGACATTCCAGGTTGCTATTTTCAATGTCTTAAGTCCACAGGGATTTCTCTGGTTTACGACCTGGGAGGCCCTGTGATCTACAGTTATTCCTCCCCTGCCGGATCTTGGATTCCGTGCTCCATAATCAGTAAGTTTGTTTACTCTACTTGTCATTTGCCATTCATGACTTTACTAGGGGTACTCTAAGAGTCTTTAATGCAGTGGTTCCCCGTTGCCTTCTGCATCCTTACGCCGTTGACATATTTTTCGATTCATCCGCCTTTAGGACCAGTTTCCCAACCCTTGGACAAAAGAGTGCCCTTCCACTTATTAACTCATCCGCCCGCAGCCGTTGGTCATAAGTGG